CCCTTGCTTATACCACCCAGTACGCTGCTGGCCTTATCACAGCAGGGGTGCACTGGTTACTCATGTTCAACTTGCTCTTCACTGGGACCCAAGATGATTTTCTCCAGAGCTGCTCCTAGCCAGTATGTGCCCAGCCTGTATGTCATACAGCATTAATCCATAGGAGGTGCAGGACTTTGTCTTTGTTGAACTTTTTGAGCTTCTCGTTGGCACCTTCCTCCAGCTAGTGAAGGTCTCTGTGAACGGCAGGTCTGCTCTTTGGTATATCAATCATTCACCCCCCCAGTTCAGGGTCATCTGCAAACTTACTGAGGGCACATTTCATCCCCTCATGTATGACATCATAGACAAAAGCATTGAACAGCACAGGCCTCAGTGTAGACCTCAGCAGAATGCCACTTGCAGCTGGCTGCCAGTCAGGCTTGAAACTGTTGTCTAGTAGCCTTTGAGCCTGACTGTCAGGTCAGTTATTCACCCACATTGTAGTTCACCCATCAAGTCCATGTTTCCTTGATTTAGCTGCAAGGCTACTGTGTGAAACTATGCTGAAAGCCTTGCTGAAGCCAAGCAAAATGACATTCACTGTTCTTTCTTCACCCACCAAAGAAGTCATCTCATCAAAGGTGCAATCAGGTTAGTCAGGTATGTTTTACTGTTGGTAAATACATGCTGGCTGTTCCAAATCATCTTCTTGACCATCTTGTGCCTGGAAATGACTTTGAGGAGGCTTTCTTGATAATCTTCCAGAGGTCTGAGCTTAGACTGATCAGCCTGTAGTTCTCCAGAGTGTCCTTCTTGCCCTTCTCGAAGTGGGGTATGACTTTTTCTGTCTTCCAACCATTTGAGACTTCACCAATCACCACAACCTTTCAAAATTAATAGAAATCAGTCTCACAATGACATTGGTGAGCAGCACTGTCAGATGTAGCCAATCCAGCCCCATGGACCTGTGTATGTCCAGCTTATTGCATCCCTGAGTTCATCCTCCTCTGGTGTGACTAGTACCTTTATCTACAAAACTTTGCTGCTAGACACAGACACCTGTCAGGACTGACAGCAGACCTTGTGAGTGAAGATACTGTGAGTGAAGATGGAGATTTTTACAGTCAGCAGATTTTTACAGTTACAGAAGATGGGAACAGTTCTAGTCTGTTCTAAACCAGTTTCCAGTTGTTCAAAGAAGTCTTTAATCTTTCTCCATTTCTTGATTGAGTCATAGGTGGTGCCCACAGCAATATCCCTTTTGTTAGCTTTTCCTGACCCATGAGCTCTTGACTATCTCATTCTCTGTTCCCTCGCAAATGTGCGTGTGTTCACACCACTCAGTTGCCCAGAGCACAAACCCCACCGCCATCTGCCATCCTTTCCTAAAGAACGTGTATCTAGCCACAGCACGTCTAGTTACACAACTGTCCCACTACATCTCTAATCATCTGTTTATACATCCTGAGAGTGCTGAGGTCTTTCACGAGTGATTTGCAGGTTCATCAGCCTGAGCAGTAGAATGGAACTACCCTGGTCTTGGTAAGACAGACCCATCTCACAAAGGGCTTTGGAAGCAGAGCCCGTGGATTCATTAACTATTGAAGAAGCCAGAATATTGCAACACATTGGTGTTTTCAGTGGCTGGTATCAGCAAGGAGATGAGCTCTTGTGATCCTGTATAGAAGCTTCCTGAGGCATGCAGTTTCATGCCTAGGTAGCAAGCACTGCAGTGGCCTAGCTTGAACACCTGAGCTGCCTTTATAAGAACATATCAAAAGGCTTAGGAAAGTCTGAGGTGCCATAGATGGCACTTTTGTAAATTATTTTCCTCGCTTGAATTTGTCCAGTTGCGTCCTGAGCCCATTTTTTGTCTGCAGCATCCTGTGGCAGGGAATTCCACTGCTACATGTGGAACTACTACATGTTGTACAGGAAGGATTGTCTCTCAAACCTGCCACCTGCTAACTCTATTTGACACCTCCTAGGCTTGCTGTAGGGGGAGACAGTCAATAACCATTTCTTGTTCACCATTTTCAGACCACTCATTGTTTTATAGATTTCTATAAAACATCCCTCTGTTCTGTTTTCTCCTTTCAAGCTGAGAAATCCTTATCTAGTTGGTTGTTATTCATAGGAGAACCATTCCATGCTTTCGTTCATCCTTGTTACCCTTCTGTATTTTTTTCTATTCTGCTATGTGCTTTTTGAGCTAGGAGGTCCATAACTACACATAGTTTTGGAGCTGTAGATGCACTATGGATTTACAGAATGGCTTGAAGGTGTTTTCCATTTTATTCTCTGTTCCTTTCCTAGTAATGTGACTTACTGATTTGACTGTGGCTGAGTACTGACCTACTCTTTTTCATAGATCTCCATTTAGCCCCAAGGTCCAATTCCCAAGCAGGCAAACTCTGTTCAGAGCCTACTGTCATGTATGTAAAATTAGGAAGGAGGGATAGTTCATGTAATTAATTTTAGAATTAGCTATATTGAATTTTGTCTGCCTTTTTCTTGCTCAGTTGCTGTGTATTGTGAGACTTTTCTGCAGCTTCTCCAGTTGTCCATCATCTTTACTATCATGTATGTTAATGACCTCAACAAACTTCCATCTCACAAAGCCCCCCTTTTTCCAGGTTTAAGTCATGCTGAACAATATAAGCTTGAGTACAAATCCCTGCATGACTCCACTGCCAACCTCCTTCCACTGTCAGAACTGGCTATTTGTTTCTACCTTCTGTTTCCTGCCTTTTAATCAGTCCTTTATTCACATAACCTTACCTCTTAAACCATCACAGCATGGTTTCTTTAGCAGGCTTTGATGAAGGAATTTGGAAAACTGTTTTTAGCTGTACACCTATTCGTTGATAATCTTCTGAAGCCCCTAATAGATTTATGAGGTGTGATTTCCCTTTGTAAAACCATGTTGACTCTTCCCCAAACCAACTCAAAATTATTTCCATTCAGATAATGAATTCTCTCTCATTGGAGCCTAAGTGTCATTTGCATACAGAGCAACCTTCCCTGTGGCATCCTTTCCCAGTTTCCAGGACTCAGCATAGTGTAAATTGCTAAATTTACACAGAATCCAGACTTTCTGAGCCAGAAACTGCGTTCAGATCACTGTGTGACCAGCTGCTACATTGTGCTACCAATAGATTTATCCTTCGTCAATTTGTCGAATTTTCTGTTGAATCACTTTTAATTCCTTGGGTTTCTGCAGCAGTTCATGGCAATGAATGGCACTGAATTCCTGGCCTGCATGAGAAGATAGTCATGTTTATCTGCAGCCTTCACCCAGATAATTTCAATGAGTGCTTCCTGTTCCAGGAGAAGTCAATGCAGAGTACTGGGCAATGTTACTTCAGTGCCTGGGAAGGATTGTGTCACCCTGAGCCCAAGAATGAACAGGTTGTGAGATAACTGGGAAGAAACATACTGCATGTGTGCATGTAGGGGAGGAATCCAACTGCTCAATGTGGAAAGCCCTGCAAGGCCTTGTAAATCCTGTGATGGGAAATGTCTACAATAGTAAATGGAAGAGGGACAGGGAGAAGGTTCAGACACTGGATCATTTGGTTGCTTGTTGACTCTGTTTTGAACCTCCTCAAGCAGCATTCTCCAAGACACTACCTGGTGTCCTTCATGCTAGGGATTGTTCCCACTGTGGAAGAGGCTACATCAAGCCTGGACCCTGCTGTCTCCAACACTGTCCCATCAGACTTTACATCCTCCTGTGCTTTCACATGCCTTTGGGCATCCCACCAGGCATGAAGCACAGCTCGTCAGGGTCATGCTGTAAAAACACCTCTCATCTGGGCTACAACGAAGTCCTTGCTTTGTTTTGGATAACAACTTCCCCTGCAAAATAGGATAATTGTGCCCTAGAGCCATAAGGATCCCGCAGTAGTCCAGGAGGGAAGCCAAGCCAGCTGCTCTGTGGTATGGCTGTGACCAATGGGACAGCTCTGAAGGGTGTGGACGTGAGTCAAACAGTGCTGGGCTGGCCTCAGAGCTGGAGATCAGTATTCAGCTCACTTTTATTTATCAATAATAGAGCAATGCTAGAGAACATTGCTCCAGTCTGGCCACAGAAAGGGCACCTGGAGTCTTTGAGAGCTTCACAACTGAAGAGGCATTCCCTGTCTCTGCTTTGACTCAGCCTTTTGCATTAAGCGTGGTTCACTTTATAATCAGTTGTCCTTTTTTAATCACTTTTCTCCTGAATATATGAGTCATAAAATGCAAAATGCATTGGTAAGTGGCAGTGATTAATCCAGTCTGCCCATCAGAAATCAAAACTGCTGTCCATTAGTACCCAATGAAATGGCAATGGGTTCAGCCAGAGCTGACCAGTCAGCCAGAGCAATATGCTGTGCACATCCCATGACCGCAGAGCACCTGTATTTCTTGACGGGATCACAGCAATGCAGGACACGATTTTTTGTGTGTGTACCTCTCTGGGAAGCCACCAGTCTGCAAAAGTTGCTAGTGCCATCTCGTGGTTTTCATTCACACGAGTGTCAGCACAAGGAGCTGCCAGCCCAGGCGGTTGACACCCGCAGAACACCCCACGGGGGGACCCTGCAGGCCCTGGCACGGTGCCCTCTGCACCCTACCGCGGTGCCTGGCACGGCCTGAGGTGTGTCCCTGTCCCCAGGGTCCACCGGGAGCTTTGCAGCAAGCGTCCCTGAAGAGCATGAGGGGAACGCAGTGGTGTTGGCTTCACGGCACGGTTGAAAGCAAGCCTTGTTCCAGCCATCTCCACCCGTGAGGACCTGCCTGTCCTCGCACCCTCTGTGCCCAGCATTTCAGTATCATCTGCTGACAGAGCCTGTGCTGCCCTTCCACCCCACTGCTGTGCTTTGTTGCCCTCCCTTCCATCACAAAGCTGGGGAGCAGAATAACCCAAAGGCTTGATGACCCAAATGGCTCTGCCATGTTGTTTTGCTGCACTGGAGCCATGGGCGATGAAGGGTCCAGAGCCCACGTGGTGACCACTCAGGGCTGCACTCGGGATGGAGCTGAGCATCTGCTGTGAACAAGCTCCTGAGCACAACGCGATAAGCCAGCTGGCTGTCACAAATTCCACTATTTACTTTGATGAAAATTTTAGCCCTCCTGGTACGGAGATAATCTGCTAAGTATGACCCAGCTCCTGCCAAGACAATGCTTCTTGAGAGGTTAGCAGTGCCACCAGAGTGCTCCTGCTCCTTAGGTGTAATGAACTCGGTGACAGGGCCTCCCAGGGCAGATATAGTTTAAGAATGCAACACATAATAACAATTTTGTAATTCCTCCTACTTCAGTGAATTAACAGCCATCTTTTTCCAGTTCACATATGCTATTGCATGGACACTTTTTTTTTAACTGACCTCTGATTAGGAGTGGGTGAGGTTTTTGCACATGGTTTGCCATGACATGGCTGTAAGTTCCACTTTTCCCTACCCTGTCTGTGTTTTTTTCGTCACTAGAAAGAAAAGCTTTAATTAATTACTCTGTGGCTCTGCTCATGGATTTTGACCAGTTGCCAGCATTCCCTCGTTGTGCCACATAAAGCCACAGAAATGCAGCCTTTGCCCTTAAGTTTCTCTCCCCAGCACTTTCCTGCCTTGCTTTCTTTCAAGAGCCGATTGCTCTGTGGTTTTCCGACAGGAGGGGTGAGGATGCTGGTTCCCACCCTGCCACATGTGTGAAGACTGCAGAAATTTTGAAGAAAGCAGTTTTGGGGCTGCCTATGGCAGCAATAGGAACAACCACTGCTGAGGCTGCCACTGCTGCCCACCTGGGTAGGATATGGGGAGGCGAGAGCTGGCAACAAGGTCAGGGGAGTCCTGGGACAAGCCAAAGGGCAGGAGAGGAGCAGAACATAGGATCCAGCTGTGACCTTCCTCCCTTTTTCTGGCTTCAGATGGTGCACCAGCTCTAGGTATGTGGGGTGACACAAGACCGTGCTCTTCAAGGCATTGGAATGAGATATGGAGATGGTGGAGGGGAGCCATCAGCCCCGGGGTCTAAGGATGCTGAAGCTGTCAGGTTGCCAACAGGGCCTAAGTGTTTTCCAGGTTTCCAGGACAATCTTTGCTCTGAGTTGACAGGCTGGTTTGCTGTTCCAACCCCTTACTTTGCAGATGAGTTCCCTTGGATTTATGCTGCCTGTCTCCACAGACACTTCTCTTCCCTGTCCTTCCCTTCCTCCCCTTATTTTCCCTTTTCTTCCTCTTCCTATCCAGCTCATCCCTCTCCTTCACAAAACCCCAGGCCCATAAAAACCACACTCAGTATAGCACTAACCCCTCCTTGGCCAACACAAGCCTGGAGGTGCTCCTGCTCTGCCCAATCCCCCAGCTCCCTGACACATCCCTGTCTCATCTCCTCAGACAGGACCAAAATCTGGGGCTGCACCTGCAGCTCTGTGTCCAGAACGAAGCAGGACAGGACCCAGACTCCTTTCCTCCTGCGTACTCCTTTCCTTAGCATCTCCTTACTAAATCAATGGGATTTGGTACTTACCTTACCTCCAGCACACCGCAAGGTATGAAACTCTGCTTTCAGCATCATTGGGAATCATTCAGTGACACTGCAAGGATGCAGCTGCAGGTGTCCCCTGCTCTTCTCTGTGTGTGAAGGCTCATTGCCTGTTAGACAGACCAGGTCACCATAACCTTTTCTGATGTTGCGATTTTTGGTAGATAGTCCAAAGAAAACCTGGCTGCTTTCTGGAGTGACAGCTAGCTTGCAGCCTGACATGAATGAAGAGTATAGCAAGATGGAACAGATTTTTGCCCCAGGCCTTCTCTGCTGATGTGTTAAGTTTGGCAGCATCATTTGGAGAAGAAGTGAATTAATCTTATTGGAATTGTGTGTGGGGGAGAAAGGAAGAAAAAAAAAAAAAAGATGTGTGAATCTATGTTGATTATTTTGAAGCCATAAACAAGTGGCATCAGAAAAGAATTTGACAACCATATGGACTTTCAGAAGTGTGAAATCTTCTGAAAATGATATGCAATCATATAAAGACTGCCATGGGGAAAAAAAAAAAAAAAAAAGAAGAAGAATTGAGATTTGGATGGATGAGAAGTATAGACAGGGGACTACAATCTGTGATACAAGAGTTAAGATTTTGGGTACATGAAGAGAATGCTATATAGAAAAATGTGTATAAATTAAATTAAGTTACTTAGCAGAATTCTCCCAGAGGTGATAGGAGTAATAGTCCTCTTTCTTATTGCTGGTTCTTAGAACCAGACTCATTGGGGAACTACAGTCTCAGGAATTGAGCAACAATTTTTCCATGAACGTAATCATTGTTTTCGTGGGAAGCTTCGCTGAAGATGCCACATGCAATCTGAATTTCACACAGGGCAAAAACTACAGGCACGAGCGCACAGGTTCTGCCAAAGGGCATCAGCTGTTTCCGCTGAGTTCAGTAACTGATGTGACAGTGCTGGGTTCCACCAAGGAAACACTTCTTATCCCAGAGCTTGGGAGACACTGGCCTTGTTCCTGAGAGGCAAGTAAGATAACAAGAAAGCAGATCTGCAAATTTTCTAACTTTGGTGTAGCACATCTCCATACGTGCTATGTGTGCATATGGCAGAGACGTCTCCGTGGGCCACAGGTCCTGACAGATGAAGATGCATGATAGGAAGTCACTCCTATCATGCACACTAGGAAAGGAGCTAAGTGCTGCTCTGCTGTCTTGGGGAAACACAGAGGCAGGGCAACTCATCAGATGTAGACAAGGACCACCACTGTGCATGAGGTCTTACCTGCTAAGAGGAGAAAAACTTGAGAAGTCTGGACTCTGGGAGACTAAGTTGAAACGCTGGCATTCTGAGCCTTTTTACAACCTGAGTGATGCCTTTCCCCTTCAAGGAATCACAGTGGGCAATACTGTGAGACACAAATTGCAGAAAAAATCTATCCAGGTTTGATTTATAAATGGCTCAGATTTGCCTCTGGTTTCAGTTTCCCCCTTGGCAGCAATCCAGGTCCAGATACTGGTTTGTAATGCTCATCACACTGTGAGAGAATTGGAAAAGTGGATGAAAGATGAAAAAAGGAAAGTGGAAAACAAACCAGCTGTGCCATCCTAAAGAAGCAGGAACAAAAGTAGGCTGAATGCTCAGAGGAGAAATGATCTATCACAAGAAAACACAGATCAGGGCAAAAGCTGGCTTTCATGTATCAATAGAGATGTATGATGAAATGAAATGGATGATGTACATGAAATGCATCCGTTGGCATCATTTGGACATTGGATCTAATATATCAGTAGAACTTTGGCTGTGAAGTTACTGTGGTTTGGAAAGAGGAACATTATGTTACCTGTGTAAATGCACGTTACTGCAGCTCATCAAAGCACTGGAGTCTTGACCTAAAGAAATGCAAAGATGATCAATATAGGGGAGCCCAGAGTCAACTGAAAGATCCTGGCTCATCTCTCAAGGGAGCACCCGTGTGATTCTGGGAGCCCTGTAAAATGTGTCAGTTTAGTGCAGCGGAGGTGTGTGAAATTGTGTACTGATCATTTCTTCCTCCTTCAAACTGGCAGTGGCTTCTTAACTTCATGGCAGTGGCTGCTCCTCCTCCATCAGTGACAAACACTCTCTGAGCCACAGAGAAAGCAAAATGCACTTCTGTGCACTCATATGGAAGCTCCAGGATGCAGATCTCTAAGAAGCAGTGCAAAATTTCTTACATGGTTGGCAGCAATCTGAAAAGGGCTTGTGTGCTCAGCAGCTTCTCTTGGCTATATCCATTAGCAGATATCCTGCCTCCCTACAGACTTCACTGGTCTTACACAAAGT